TCGCGGGGGCGCTCCGCCGGGTTCTCCTCGACCCCCCGGTGGGGGGGGGGTGCTGCCCACCCGCCTCGACCTCATCCTCACCGCGCGGGAGAGGGTGTTGCTGCCCTTCCTCCGACAGCCTCGCCGGGAAGGGGAAGGGGAAGGGGGAGGGGGGAGGGGGGGAAAGGGAGGGGGGTCCTCCGGGCTCCTCTGGACGCTGCGGGAGTTGGAGGGGATCTGCGGATGGCGCGCGCACCGCGCCGCGCTGGAATCCCGCGTCGACGCCTTCCCGCATCTGCTCGGGGTGGGGGACAGATCGGTAGAGGAGGTTGGACGAGGGGGGGTGCTCCTCCCACGCGAGGAGGCCTTCCTGCGGGCGGTCCTCCTCCCCGCGATGGCGGCCTTCGCGCGGAGTCGCCCGCGCGACGATCCCGCCGTCGAGGCCCACCACCGCCGCCTTTCCCGCCGCCTCGCGAGGGGGGAGGGGGGGATTCTCAGGGAAGCGGCGGATCCCTCAGCCGCCGGCGATCGCGGTCGTGCCCATCCGCGAGTTCATCTGCTCGACGATCGCCCCTTCCCACGACGCGGGCGCCGACTTCCACTTCGGCGCGGAGGAGTTGGCGCGCTGTTTGGAGTACTTTGACGGCTTCGATCGCTACTTTGATATCGCGTGCGGCGATCACACAACTGTTGGCTTCATCCTGTCGGGTTGATATCCTAAAGCTCAGAGAAAGAGAGAAAGAGAGAGAGGCAGCATTAGATGCACACCAAAAGGTTAGATAAAAATACCGTGGGTGTTTTTTAATTTATTTGCCATATACAGCGATAGTTGCAGCAAAATGCATATTCCTATAGAGAAAATGGACCGCATAATGGACAAAATTATACAGAGGTCTTGCTTTGCTTTTTGGGAGGTCTTTTTTGAAGAAAAGCAAATCGTGAGAAGATGCTTGTATGATAAGGGTTTGGAAGAATGATGAGATATTGAACCACTAATCAAGGGATTAGTCAAAGGGGTAGCCGTTCCTCATGGAAAGACGACTTCAAGTCTAACATGATCGATGGTTTTCTTTTTTAAATCTCCCCTACGCTTTCTTCCTGAAGGTCGTGGTCTGCATGACACATGTTCATGAAGCAGCAGAAAGCAGCCGCTTCAGCAACCTAACCGTTCGATTTTTCTTTTTTTCGATGCATGAAGAGTCTGTATTCCTTCTTTTCATCATGAGGGTTTCCCTCTCCATCCTTTTCCATGAATATCTTTTTGTTCGACTCCTTTTATTTTTTATTTTCCTTCTGACTTCTTCTTTTTATATTTTTATTTAGCTTTGGGTTTCTTAATTTTCTGTAAATTAGCTTCCTTACGAAATTTTTTTGACCCCTTTTATTTATATTTTTAGTGTCCATATCGAAAGGTTCATTGCAGCACCGGTTTTCGTCACCTGTGCTGACCTCGATAGCTCATCTTGATACCTTTTTGAGGGTTTGTTACTATTATTACCACACATCTATATATTGGCCTACCGTTTCTTTTACCTTTATTCTTGCTTCCTTCACACGTGTTGCCGTGCGTGTGAGAGAACAGTAAAGAGGGTTCAAAGGAATTGGTGCCCAGGTGTGTAAATATTCCAAGCCGTGGTAACCAAAGCAGAACCACAGGCTACTTGAAAGAGACAAACGAAAAGGCCAAAGGGTGTACTCTATTCTTAGACGAGCCCGTAAAGCGTATCCCGCACACCTCCAAGGGTCTCGCATCTCGCCTTTTTCATTTCATCATTCTTGACATCCGTTCAAAGGTGGAGGTTAGCGGAGGTTTCTTTTCTTCCCCTCCATTCCCCTTAGAAGAGCAAAAAACAACAACCAAAAGGGTCCGTGGAAGCGGGTTAGAGCACTTTCTTTTTTATTCCTTATTTATAGCCTTACAACGCGATGTCGTTGACGACGAATCCAAAGGGGAGCCTCACCGCCCCGGATAGCAAATCCTTCCTACCCGAGATGCACCCGGAGTGTTACATTTGGATCCTGCAGCGCCTCGAGGCGGGGTTTGGGTTCTCCCTGAAAGGTCATCTCAGCGCCGCACACCGCAGCACCCTTGAGGATTTCCTCATCGGCGACGAGGATAAACGCGTGATTTTCGCGTATTTCATCTCCCCTGGCGTCGCGGCGGACCTCAACGGTGGGGCGCCGTCCTCCCATGACGTGGGAGGAGGGGGGGGGGGCGCCCCTCCCGATAAACTCCAAGGCGAAGGGGGAGGGGGAGGGGGGCCGTCGAGGTCGGCCGCGTCGTTCTGGAGGCCGACGACGGCTTCGCCGACCTCCGCGGCGGGGAGGAGGGGGAGGGGGGGTTGAACCCCCCCGCCTCCTCGCGCGCGCCGTGGGAGGGGGGGGCGCTCTTCGCGCCGCAGCTTCAAATCGTTCCGGCGAGCGGCCTCAACCTCACCGCGCGGCTGAACGCGGCGGAGTTGGAGCGGGAGGCGGGGAGCAGCCCGCGGGCGGGCAAGGACGGCGCGGCGGGCGGGATCGGCAACGTTCTTTATTTCATCCGCGTGGAGTCCGACAAGGCGCTTTCGCCCGAGACGATGGATACGGCGGTGGCCTGGGCGTGTTATCGCGGCCCCAGCCTTTTAGAGAGCTTCCTTCGCACCCTCCAGCAGGCGATGATGCCGACGCTGCTTTTTAATCGCTGGCCGACGAGCATCGAGAAGGACGTGCAGACCTCCCTGCATCGGTTTATGGCGATTATGGTGGAGGATATCAACCACATCCGCGGGCGAACGGTGCTTTACGTGCCGAACGACCTCACCGCGAGGGATCGCGCGCACGTCCACAACGACCGCGAGGTGGTGCAGCGCTACGAGGCCACCGTCATCCACTGGACGCGGCAGATCCGAGCGGTGATCGGGGAGCAGGGGGCGAACGCCGCCGTCGAGGATGGCGGGCCCCTCGACGAGATCAACTACTGGCGCTCCCGCTCCCGCGATTTAGACAACATCCGTCTGCAGCTCAACCGCTCGGACGTGAGCGCAATCGTCTCGGTGCTGCGCGAGGCGAAGTCGTTTTACTATCTGGAGCCCTTTTTGAACCTCCAGGCCGATATCGAGCGCGGTACCGTCGAGGCGTTTGACAACCTCTGCTTTCTCAGCACCCTCATCGAGCCGTGCGAGCGGCTGGCGGCGGCGAGGCTGAAAGAGATCCCGGGGCTGATCGGCGACATCCTCGTCAAGGCGCAGTTCATCCTCATGCACTCCAAGCATTATCGAAAGGAGCGCTTCTGCCACCTCCTCCGGATGGTCTCCGACGAGATCATCCGACGCTGCAGCGTGCGGATCGACATCGCGGCGATCCTCCGCGGCGACGTCGCGCAGAGCATGGTCGCCCTGCAGGAGAGCATCAGCGCCGGCGAGGCGTGGATGAAGGAGTGCCGGAAGATGCTCAGCGCGACGAAGCTGCGCTTTAAGCACGAGAAGGGCGAGAAACTCGACATCGACGAGAGCTCCCTGCTCAACGAGATCGACGGCTTCATCAGCCACCGCTGCCAGAACTTAAAGGAGATTTGCCAGGGGCAGATGCAGTTCGGCTTTCGCAGCGTCGGCACCTCGCCACCGGCGTCGTCGCGGCAGCGCCGGCGGAGCACCACGCGCGCGTCGATCCCGTATCCCCCGCGCGAGGACCCCAACGGGAAGACGGCGCTGCAGCTCCCCGAGCTCAACGGCACCGCGGCGGAGTTGGAGGCGATGTTTGAAGGGCGCCTGCCGATCTTCAGCGGGAATAAAGGGCCGGAGATTGAATCGCAGCTGATGGATATCCAGCGCGCCTTCAAGTCGAAGATCGACATGCTGCGTGGGCTCGACTACGACATCCTCGACGTGAAGTCGACGAAGTGGATTGACGATTTTGGGATCCTCAAGACGGATATGGATAGCCTGTCGATGGTGATGCGGCAGATCATCACGGCGGCGTTCGACAGCATCGCGACGATCACAACGGGCGCGGAGTACATCGAGGCGTTTTACGTCCTCAGCCGCAACGAGGAGCTCCTCCTCCAGCTCGATCGGAGCAAGGACCTCGTCTTTCGGTTGTTTATGAGCAATCTGAAGACGGTGCAAGGGGAGATCCAGCGCTACTTCAACCGAAAGCCCACCTTGTTCTACCTCCACCCCCCTGCCGCGGGGTATGCGTACTGGGCGATGAACAACATCGCCTCCATCACCCAGGGCTATGAAGAGCTCTGCCGATGCTACTACCTGCCCGAATCGCCCGAATCCCAGGAGGCGATGGATTTGTACGACCGCCTGGTGCGTTCCTTGAAGGATACGGTGCGGAAGTACTACCTGGATTGGCGGGATTCCCTCCCGTTGAAGCCGGCGGAGTATTTGGATATGTATTTGCTCGTCCGCCGCCACAGCACAGGCAAAGGTCCGGAGGACCCCCCTCTTTTCGAGGTGAACTTCCCCAAACAGCTGCTGCTGCTCTTCGATGAGGTGCGTTACTGGCAGCGGCTAGGGGAGGCGATCCCTGCTCACGTGCAGGATATCTGCTCAAAGGAGGAGCGGCTGCGGATTTGCCGCGAGAACATCGCCCTCGTGACGCGTGCGTACAACAACGTCATCATGTCGTTGGGGAGTCGGGAGGAGCTGCGGCTTTTTACGCTGCGGTTGCGCTTTTTGGAGTCGAAGTATCAACCCGGGCTGACGAAGCTGTGGTGGAATTCGCCCGGCATTGTCGAGTACTACGTGCGGGAGTGCCGCACCCAGACGGAACGGGTGCAGAGCATCGTCGACGATTACAAACACACGCTCATCTTTGTCGATCATTATTGCCGCGCGATCGCGGATACCCTGTCGGTTTCTTTCGAGCGCAAGAAGACCTCCACGCTTTCGGTTTTTGTGGAGCGGCAAAAGCGATACCGGAGCTCCGTTCGCACGAGGCTCAAGGCGATCTTTGGCTGCATCGTCGACCGCCTCTACAGCCTCTTTCACTACTTCCGCGAGGACTACATGCATGACGAGGTCGTGCGGTCGGAGTGGCATCACCTGATGGAGAACGTCGAGCTGAAGCTCGAGGAGGCGCTGAAGACGATGGTGAAGCGTTCTCTACTCACCGTCGAGCGCACCCTCCCGGCGGAGGTCTCCGAGGATCGCCTCTGCGATAAGGTCTTCCGCCTCGACGTGATCATCAGCGTCGCTGAGGACGTGAACAAACCCGTTATCCGCGCAATGCCCTCCGTCGAGGAGGTGTCGAAGCGGATTAACGAGGTGTGCAAGCAGATCATCTCGACGGTGCGGGACCTTCCCCACATCGACGACTCCCTTTCCATGCGCATCGCGTCCGAGAACGACGAGGAGTTGGCGGAGATGAACTGTCCGTTCGTAACGTACCGAGGCCACACCGCGGAGGATATCGACCTACGGGGCTCCTACTTTGAGTGCATGGCGGGCGATGAGGATATCATCCTTTCCCTGCAGCGCATCCAAACCGCCTTCGTCGCGGTCGGCGAGAAGGTGCGGGATAAGCTCGCCCAGATCTGGCGGCTGCACCAATCCCTCTCGACCGACAACCTCTGGGCGACGGAGAAGCAGGATAAGCGGATTAAGCAGGGCTGGAAGTTGGAGGACTATCGGATCAACATGGATAACGTGATGCACCGCCGGGATGATATGGATAAGCAAGAGCCCTTCGCCGAGGTCCAGTTCCTCCTCCTTGACTTCAACAAGATGAAGGAGACCTTCCGGAAGCAATGCCAGCTCGTGATCAAGCACTACCACGGACTGCTCTACGCCGACGCGAAGCAGGAGCTGGAGGCGCTCTACCGCGTCTTTCAGACCACCATCGAGAGCCTCACGCGGGAGCCGAAGACGCTCGATCAGCTCGGCGAGCAGGTGCGGAGCTGCGCGGAGGCGATCGACAACCTCCCCGCGATCTCCGCCCGCTTCGAGCCGTTGAGGGATCGCTTCGCGTTGATCACCTCGGAGGCGTACAACTTCGGCGGCGTCGACGCCGCGGACGTCGCGCGCTGCGAGGCCCTCCCGGAGGTTTTTGAGGATTACATCGAGCGCTTCAACGCGGTTCGCCGCCAGCTCGACATCTACAAGGAGCAGTTCAAGCACGACCTCGAGACGGACCTCCGCGGGCTCATCTCGAGCAGCTTCGCGCTCTACCAGCAGGTGCGGGAGGAGGCCCCGACGAGGTGGGGGATGGCGACGACGGAGGCGTTCGCGCAGCTCGCCGTGATGGCGCGCCGCGCCGAGGCGCTCCGCCAGACGGAGCAGGACCTCCAGCACGGGATCGAGATCTTCAACCTCACCAAACCCACCCTGGAGGACCTCACGCACGCGGAGGAGCAGCTCGCGGTGCTGCGGACGCTCTGGGGGCTCGTGGAGAAGTGGCAGAGGCGGCGGCATGAGTGGATGCACATGTACTTCATGAAGCTCAACAGCGATTTGATGCTGGAGGGGTTGGAGAAGATCCGCCGCGAGGTGCTCCGCCTCCGCAAGGATCTCGAGCAGCTTGACGTGTGGGTGCGCCTGAAGGATGATATCGACCTGCTGAAGAAGATTTTGCCCATCATCGACGACATGCGCACCCCGGCGATGCGGCAGCGGCATTGGGAGTTCATTAAGATGCAGCTCGACATCGAGTTCGACATCCACTCCGAGGAGTTCTGCCTGCAGTGCCTGATGGATGCGCGGGTGGAGACGCAGGCGGAGTTCATCTCCAACCTCGCCGTGGCCGCGCGGGAGGAGCTGAAGATCGAGACGGACCTCGACAAAATCCACGCCTTCTGGGAGGCCGCAGACTTCACGATCGAGCCCCATCAAGGCTACAACCGCATCACCCACGTCGACGAGCTCAACAACGCCCTTGCCGAGCACCTGGCGCTGCTGACGTCGTCGAAGATGTCGCGTTTCGTCGAGAACTTCCGTGGGCGGGTGATGCAGTGGGAGCAGACGCTGTCGATCGTCACGGACACCATCGAGGGGCTGCTCGACGTGCAGACGAAGTGGATGTACCTGGAGAACATCTTCATCGGGAGCGAGGATATCAAGCGCAAGCTCGTCGCCGAGGCGAAGAAGTTCGACTCCATCCACGCCCAGTGGCTTTCCATCATGTCGAGGCTGGTGAAGGACCCGAACGTCGTCCGCGGGACGCGGCGGGATACCCTGCTCGATCAGCTCAACACGATGAGCGCGGAGCTGGAAGGGATCCAAAAGAGCCTCGAGTGGTTCCTCGAGGACCGCCGTCGCGTCTTCCCGCGGTTTTACTTCCTCTCCAACGACGACCTGCTGGAGATCCTTGGCCACGTGAAGGAGCCGTCGAAGGTGCAGCCGCACCTGCGGAAGTGCTTTGAGGGGCTCTACCAGCTCGCCCTGAAGCAGGTGCGAAGCGGCACGATCGTGGAGGGGATGTCGTCCGCGGACGGCGAGTACGTCTCCTTTGGCGCGCCGATGCACATCGAGGGCCTTCCCGTCGAGGCCTGGCTGCGCAGCGTCGAGGCGAAGATGCGGGAGACGATGCAGCTCGGCATCAACCGCACCCTGGACGACCTCCAGCGCAACGTCTACGACCCCCGCCACCCGATCAACCGCGAGAAGCTCAAAGGGTGGGTGGAGCGGAACGAAGGGCAGTGCCTGATCACGGCGGCCTCCATCAACTGGACGCAGCAGGTCGAGGGGGCGATCCTCGAGTACGGCGAGCTCCACGCGAACGGGGGGCTCAGCCTCGCCCGCCGCAAACTCTCCCCGCTCTACCGCATCTACAAAAAGTGGAAGGGGATGATTCGGAAGTACTGCCAGATGGTGCGGCAGCCGCAGAGTCGGATGCAGCGGAGCAAACTCGTCGCCCTCGTTACGATCGAGGTCCACGCGCGCGACGTCCTCCGGCACATCCTCGCCCGCCGCGTGCATCAACTCGACGACTTTGAGTGGTCGCGGCAGCTGCGGTTTTATTCCGAGGAGACCGCCTCCGAGGCGGCGGGGTTGCTTCCCGCCACCCCAGGCCCCGCGCCATCTTCGACGACCGTGGCTATTCCAACCGGAGGCGGCGGAGGCGGGGGGAGTAGTGCGGCTGGAGGTGGAGGTGGAGGGGGGGCCGGAGGTGGGGGTGGTAGTGGGGGCGCAGGCGGGGGGGTTCCCGCGTTGGGGACCTCCAACTCCACGAATAGCGGCAGCGCGAACGCCGCGGGGGAGGCGCTTTCCGCCGGGATCGTCCGAGCCACCCCGCGGGCCTGCGTCGTCCGCCAAACGAGCGCCGTCGTGCGCTACGACTACGAATACCTCGGGAATAGCGGGCGGCTGGTGGTCACGGGGCTCACCGATCGCGCCTATATGATGCTGACGACGGCGCTGCAGCTCTTCCGCGGCGGCCTCCCGCAAGGCCCCGCGGGCACCGGCAAGACGGAAACCGTGAAGGACCTCGGCAAGGCGATCGGGAAGTACGTGATGGTGTTTAACTGCTCGGAGAGTCTCGATTACCGCTCGGTCGGCCGCATGCTAAGCGGGATCGCGCAGACCGGCGCGTGGTCCTGTTTTGACGAGTTCAACCGTATCGAGGTGGAGGTGCTCTCCGTCGTCGCGCAGCAGATCTTGTCGATCCTCACCGCCGTCTCGGAGCGACGCCGCGAGTTCCTCTTCGAGGGGACGGAGATCCCGCTTAACCTGAACTGCGGGCTCTTCGTGACGATGAACCCCGGCTACGCGGGTCGATCCGAGCTGCCCGACAACCTCAAAGCCCTGCTCCGCCCGATCTCGATGATGGTGCCCGACTTCGGCCTGATTTGCGAGATCACGATGCTTTCCGAGGGCTTCGAGGAGTCCGAGGTGCTCTCGAAGAAGGTCTCCATTCTGTACGAGCTGATGGAGAACCAGCTGTCGAAGCAGGACCACTACGACTTCTCGCTGCGGAACATCAAGGCCGTCCTCGTCCAGGCGGGCAACCTCAAGCGGGAGAACTTTCCGGGCACCGAATCGCAGCTCTGCCTGAAGGCGATGAAGGATATGAACCTGCCGAAGTTCGTCAAGGAGGACGTGCCGCTCTTCCTCGCGATGCTGAGGGATCTCTTCCCGGGCGTGGAGCCGCAGGGGAGCGGGCTCGAGGAGCTGTGGGCGGCCGCCATCGACGAGCTCGAGGCCGCGAACCTCGAGAAGAACGAGCACATCCTGACGAAATGCTTGCATCTTTGGGATACGCTGCGGACGCGGCATGGGGTGATGGTGGTCGGGCGCTCCGGATCGGGCAAGACGGTCACCTGGCGGACCCTCGCCGGCGCGCTGAAACGGCTCGCCGAGTGCGGCGTCGGCGGCCCCTACGAGCCCGTGCGGGTGTCGTTGCTGAACCCGAAATCGGTGACGATGGATGAGCTCTACGGCAGCTACAACCAGGCGACGCGGGAGTGGAAGGACGGCATCCTGTCCGACCTGATGCGGCAGATCTGCCGGGATGCGACGGATACGAACTACAAGTGGCTCCTCTTTGACGGCCCGGTGGATACGCTGTGGATTGAGTCGATGAACACCGTCCTGGACGATAACAAGATGCTCACGTTGAACTCCGGCGAGCGGATTAACCTCAACCCCACGGTGAGCATGCTCTTCGAGGTGCAGGATCTCTCGCAGGCCTCGCCCGCGACCGTCTCGCGCTGCGGGATGGTCTACTTCACCGTCGAGGATCTCGGCTGGAAGCCCTTCGTCATGACGTGGCTGCGCTCCCGACGCGACTTCGAGATCGCGCTGAACACCCCGAAGCCGGACGCGACGATCCACGAGCTGCAGGACTTCATCCTCAACACCCTCGCGAGCACGCTCGCCTTCAAGGCCGCGGAGTGCGCGGATCTGATGCCGACGACGACCCTGAACACCGTCCGTTCCTTCACGACGATGTTCGACGCCCTCGCGAACTCGGAGGCCCGCCCGGTGATCCCGGGCGGCGTCAGCTACCAAACCTCGCAGGCCGGGGAGAACTACCTCCCGCAGCTCCGGATGGCCGCGATGTTCTGCCTCGTCTGGGCCGTCGGCGGCCCTTTGACGGTGCAGTCGCGGCGGAAGCTGGACTCCTTCGTGCGCGAGATGGACGCGTCGTTTCCGTCGACGGAGACGGTCTTCGAGTACTTCCCGGAGTTCCACAGCCTGCGGTGGTGTGCCTGGGAGGAGCATCCGGACCTCCGGCGGATGTACGTCCCCCCGCCCGGGGCGCCCTACCACAAGCAGATCATCCCCACCATCGACACGATCCGCTACGAATACCTCGTCTCGCAGCTCGTGCGGAGCCGGGTGCACCTCGTCCTGGTCGGGACCGCCGGCACGGGGAAGTCGCTGATCGCGCGGCAGGTCATGGCGGGGCTCAGCCGCGAGACGCACGTGACGACGGAGCTCAACCTCTCCGCCCGGACCTCCGCGCGGAACGTGCAGGATATCATCGAAGGGCGGATGGAGCACCAGTCGAAGAAGGTCTGCGGACCCCCACGCGGGCGCCGCATGATCTGCCTCATCGAGGATCTCAACATGCCCGCGAAGGAGAAGTTCGGCGCGCAGCCGCCGCTGGAGCTGCTGCGGCAGTGGCTGGATAACGGGTTTTGGTACGACGCCCAGACCCGCGCGCAGCGGAAGGTGAACGACATGCAGCTGCTTTGCTGCATGACCTACGGCCGGCCGGATATCTCGGAGCGGTTTATGAGCAAGTTGAACGTCTTCAACATCACTTTTCCCTCCGAGACGGTTATCGGGAAGATCTTTTCCGCGATTTTGGAGAACCGGATGGCGCCGTTTGCGGACCTCCGGACCTACGTCAGCGCGATCGTGAAGGCCACCATCGAGACCTACATGAAGGTCTCCACCGAGCTGCTGCCCATCCCGAGCAAATCGCACTACCTCTTCAGCCTGCGGGATCTGAGCAAGGTGTTCCAGGGCATCTACGGCTGCCACCTCGCCTCGCTGACGTGCAAGGAGCACCTGGCGGGGTTGTGGCTCCACGAGTGCGAGCGCGTCTTCGCGGACCGGATGAACAACGAGGCGGACCGCGCGTGGTTTCACCAGGTCCTCAACGAGAAGCTTAACAACGACTTCCAAACGAAGTGGGTGAACATCCTCAAGTCACGCGTGAAGGAGGGAGGAGGGGGTGGGGGCGGGAAGGGCGTGGGAGGGGGTGGGTTAGGGCACCCATCCTCCCCGCAACTCCACCCCCAGCAACCGGTCACCGAAAACGAGAGCCCGATTTTCGTTGACTTCTGGGATGGCGAGTACGACGAGATGGCGAAGTACCGCCTCGTGCCCTCGATGGAGGCGCTGCGGCAGCGGGTGGAGGAGAACATGGAGCGCTTCAACGCGGAGCCCGGGGCGCGACCCGTTAACCTCGTCTTTTTCAACGACGCCCTACGCCACCTCTGCCGGATCCACCGCATCATCCGCCTGCCACACGGCAACGCGCTGCTGGTGGGGTTGGGCGGCAGCGGCCGCAGCTCCTTGACGCGGCTCGCCGCCTACCTCGCCGGCTACACCTTCTTCACGATTGAGGTCCACAAGAAGTACGACATCGAGTGCTTTCATGAGGACCTCCGCACCCTTTACAAGGCCTGCGGCGTCAAGCGCCAGAATAAGGTGTTTTACTTCTCCGATAACCAGGTGATGCACGTCTCCTTCTTGGAGGATATCAACAACATGCTCTCCTCCGGCGAGGTTCCGAATCTTTTTGTGAAGGACGACCTACGCCAGATCCGGGATGATGTGCGGAAGCTCGCGCTCGTCGACGGCTGCCGCGACGCCCCGGATGAGCTGTACAACTACTTCGTCGAAAAGGCCCGGCAGCACCTCCACCTCGTCGTGGCGATGTCGCCCGCGAAGAAGGAGTTCCGGGATTGGCTCCGGCAGTTCCCGGCGCTCGTGTCGTGCACCTGCATTGATTGGTTCTCCGCGTGGCCGACGGAGGCGCTGAAGGAGATCGGGATGCGCTACTTGAAAGAAACTGCGGAGTCCGACGAGACGGATGAGATGTTGAACACCATCTGCGATATGTTCGTCTACATGCACGACACCACCGGCGAGCGCTCGCAGCAGATGCGGGAGCATCTCCATCGCTACAACTACGTGACGCCGTCGTCGTACCTGGATCTCGTCCGCGGCTTCCGCACGATGCTAACGAAGAAGTGCGAGGATATCACGGAGCAGCGGGATAAGCTCGCGAACGGGATGTCAAAGCTCGAGGAGACGAAGCTGACGGTGAGTCGGATGACGGAGAGCCTCAAGGTGCAGGACGCGAAGCTGCAGGAGAAGTCCGAGGAGGTCTCCAAGGCGACGGAGAGCATCCAGGTCCGCCAGCGGATCGCGGAGGAGCAGCAGACCCTCGTCGCCTCGGAGAAGGTGAAGATCGAGCAGGCGAAGCGCGCGGCGCTGGCGGATCAGACCGAGGCACAGGCCGACCTCGACCGCGCGATGCCGACCCTCCTCGAGGCGCAGGCCGCCCTCGATAAGCTCGACAAGAGCGACATCAACGAGGTGAAGTCGTACAAAACCCCTGCGGCGATGGTGCACACCGTGATGGAGGCCGTCCAGACCGCGCTCCACCGCAAACTCGACTGGGATGAGGCGAAGAAGTCGCTAAGCGAGCCGAAGTTCATCGACATGCTCAAAACCTACCACGAGACGCACGACATGACCGACCAGAAGCTGCTGAACAGCCTGGAGAAGTACGTTAAGCGGCACGACTTCACCCCGGCGGCGGCGAGCTCCGTCTCGAAGGCCGCCGGCGGGCTCTGCCAGTGGGTGATCGCGATCCACAAGTACGGCAACATCTACAAGGAGGTGCACCCGAAGATCGTGAAGAACGAGAACGCGCAGCAGCGGGTCCGCGCGCAGGAGGAGATGCTTCGGCAGAAGGAGGAGAAGCTGCAGCGGATCATGGACGAGGTCCGGCGCCTGGAGGCCGACCTCAACACGAACATCAACGAGAAGAATCAACTCATGCGGGAGGCGCGGGAGACGCAGGATAAGCTCAGCCGTGCCTGCATCATCGTCGATGGCCTCGAGGGCGAGCGCGACCGCTGGACGGAGTCGATCGCGCGCTACGAGATCGACCTCGGTAACATCCGCGGCGATACGCTGCTCGCCACGGGCTTCATGTGCTACTGCGGCGCCTTCACCGCGGATTACCGCCACCTGCTTTGGCAGAGCTGGCTAAAGGAGATGCGGCGGCTACAGCTGCACACGAATCGCGACTTCAACTTTGTGAATTTCCTCGTGGACCCGACGGAGGTGCGGGATTGGCACCAAACGGGCCTCCCAGGGGATGATTTTAGCCGCGAGAACGGCGCGATCGCGATGTGCGGGCCGCGCTACCCCCTCATGATCGACCCGCAGCAGCAGGCGATCAAGTGGATTAAGCGGATGGAGCGGGACAACGGGCTGAAGGTGATCGATCCGAAACAACCCGACTTCCAAAAAACAGTCGAGAACGCCGTCCTGCTCGGTTGTCCGCTGCTCCTGCAGGATGTGCTGGAGGAGATCGATCCGATCCTCGATCCGATCATGTCGAGGACGATCATTCGCAAGGGCAACCGCCAGCTCGTCAAGCTTGGGGATAACTACATCGAGTATAACGAGAGCTTCAAGCTTTACATCACCACGCGGCTGTCGAACCCGCACTACTCCCCGGAGACCTGCACGAAGGTGTGCCTGTTAAACTTCGCCGTGAAGGAGCAGGGGTTGGAGGAGCAGCTGCTCAAGATCGTCGTCGAGCGCGAGAAACCGGAGCTCGAGCACGAGAACGAGAAGCTCATATTGGATATGGCGGCCGCCAAAAAGGAGACGAAGCGGCTTGAGGACGACATTCTCGACTTGCTTTCCAGCTTTCAGTGCTCCTTGCTGGAGAATAAGCGGCTCATTGATACGTTGCAGTCCGCCAAGGTGACCGCCGCGAACATCAAAAAGCAGCTCAAGGAGTCGGAGGAGACCTCGGTGAAGATCTCGCAGGCGCGAGAGGAGTATCGGGAGTGCGCACAGCGGGCGTCGATCCTCTTCTTCGTTCTCGCGGACCTCGGCGCGATCGACTCGATGTATCAGTTCGCGTTGGATTCGTACATCGAGCTTTTCCAGCACAGCATTCGCCGCTCCGCGGAGAAGATCACCTCGCGCTCGATGGATGAGCGGATTAAGACCCTCAACGCCTGGCATACCGCGGCGGTCTACACCAACACCTGCCGTGGTCTCTTTGAGCGGCACAAGCTGCTCTTTGCGTTTCACATGACGATGCGCATCCTGCAGGCGGCGGGGCGGGTAAACCTGGAGGAGTACGCATTTTTGATGCGAGGAGGGCAGATTTTGGATAAACAGGGCCGGCTGCCAAACCCGGCGCCGTCGTGGCTGTCGGAGCGCTGCTGGGATCACCTCCTCGAGCTCGACAAGCTCACCAATTTTCACGGCATCGCCGCGCACGTCGAGCAGAACGCGGATCTCTGGCGCGAGTGGTACCTCCTGGAGCTCCCCGAGGAGGCGGAGCTACCGGGCGAGTGGCAGAACCTCTGCCGTGAGAACTACATCCAAAAGATGATCTTTGTGCGCTGTCTGCGGCCGGATCGCCTGGTGTTCATGGTCTACGAGTTTATCGAGGATCAGCTCGGCGCGCAGTTCGTGGAGCCCCCCACGTTTAACCTCAAGGAGGCCTACGAGGAGAGCAGCAACGCGATCCCGCTCGTGTTCGTCCTCTCCGCCGGGGTGGATCCGACGACGCAGCTCAACGCGATCGCGCAGCGCGGGGGGCACACCCTCAAAACCCTCGCCCTCGGACAAGGCCAGGGCGAGAACGCGAAGCGCGCGATTCAGGAGCTCAGCCAGACGGGCGGGTGGGTTTTCCTCGCGAACTGCCACCTCATGGTCTCCTGGCTGGTGGAGCTGGAGAAGATCATCGACGACTTGGCGGAGCAGAACCCCCACAAGGAGTTCCGGCTCTGGCTGAGCTCGGTTCCCACCCCGGGGTTCCCGATCGGCATCCTGCAGCGCGCGATCAAGATGACGACGGAGCCGCCGAAAGGCATCAAAGGAAACATGCTCCGCCTCTACAACGGGATGTCGGAGGAGCAGTTCGCCGAGCGGAGCAGCGCGCACCCCGTCTTCTACCGCAACCTCCTCTTCGCCCTTTGCTTCTTCCACAGCGTGCTGCTGGAGCGGCGGAAGTACGGCACGCTCGGCTACAACGTCATCTACGACTTCACCGCGTCCGACTTCGAGGTGTCGGAGAACATCCTGGACTTGTACCTGCGCCAGATGCACTCCGACCTCGCGGAGGACATCCCATTTGTCACGATTCGCTACCTCATCGCGGAGGCCTCCTATGGCGGGCGTGTCACGGACGACTGGGACCGCCGCGTGCTGAACACGTACATGGAGCAGTACTTCTGCCTGCGGGCGGTCACGGAGGAGGCCTACCCCCTCTCCGCCGCCGCCGAGTACGTCATCCCGGCGGAGTGCACGACGGTGCAGGCCTACCTGCAGGAGTGCGCGCACCTCCCGATCACGGACCCCGCCGAGGCCTTCGGGCAGCACGCCAACGCGGACATTGCCAGCCGCATCGCGGAGTCCACCGCGTTGCTGGATAATCTAATCAGCATCAACGCGACGCTCGCGCGGGGAAGCGCCGGGGGGAGCGGGCTCACGACGGCCGCGAACAGCACCACCGCCGGCGCGACGCGGCCACCCTCGCAGGAGGATCGCTGCCTGGAGATCCTCGCCTCGCTGTCGGAGTCGAGCAAGGCCGCGATCCCCCCGCTGATCGACTACGACGCCATCTTTGAGGCCACCAGCGAGGAGCGCCAGAACGCCCTCAACACCTGCCTCCTCCAGGAGGTGCAGCGCTACAACCTGCTGCTCGCGAAGATCCATCGGCAGTGCGCCGCGCTGCGCCTCGCCGTCCGCGGGCGGATCGTCATGTCGGACGAACTCGAGGCGATCTTCGCCGCGCTGCTCCTTGGCCGCACCCCTCCGCCGTGGGCGAGCGCCTACCCCAGCCGAAAGCCCCTCGCGAGCTGGTCGGTCGACCTCGTCGCGCGGGTGGAGCAGTTGAAACTATGGGGGCAGCGCACCCCGGCGGTCTTTTGGCTCTCCGGCCTCACCTATCCGACGGGATTTCTCAAAAGTCTCCAGCAGCAACAGGCGCGCGCCGATCACGTTTCGATCGACCAATACGGCTGGGAGTTCGCGCTGCTCGCGCAGGAGGAGCGGGGGATCATCCACGGCCCCAAAAAGGGCGCCTACGTGCGTGGAATCTACCTCGAAGGGGCGGGATGGAACTCGGAGAACAACACCCTCTGTGAGCCCAACCCGATGGAGCTCATCGTGCGGATGCCCGTCATCCACTTCATCCCCAAACTCATTCCCCCTAACTCCACGCCGTCGGAGAGCAACGTTTATAAGGCGCCTCTCTATATGTATCCGATCCGCACCGGCACCCGCGAGCGGCCCTCCTTCGTCGTCGCCGTCGACCTCGACAGCGGGGAGGCTGCGCCGCAGCACTACACCAAACGGGGTACCGCCCTTCTCCTTTCCACGGACGAATAGGCATCGTCGTCTAAAGAGAGAAAAAGTAACCAAAAACGGGATGCACCACAAGGAAAAAGGAAAAAACGAGACCATCCAGAGGAGGAGGTCAATAAAAAAAGGGGGGGTAGGTGGGAGGAACAATCGAGGGACACTGTCTGGGTTTATGCTTGCGATTCACCCAATAACGAAGCTCTACGCTTTTTGCTCGTTTGTTATTTATTTATTTATTTATTCTTTCTCGATGCCATTTTTTTTCTGGCGTCCTTCGCATGTGATACACGGCAATTTAATCACATAGGAGGGTTGCAAGTAAAGAAACGAGCAGTGTGGCTAGTTTGTTGAGGTTGAGGTCACTTCATGAACGGAGACGACCCTCCCCCCCCTTCCCACACAGCGAGAGAAGATTTGTAAATGGCATATTCAACGTTCGCGACAGAACGAACTAGAGCTAGAGAGGAGAGCTTATAGGCTGGGGAAAAAGGGGAAGGCTTTTCCGAAAAAATATTACATAATCATGAATTTCCCTCCATTGTTATTATTTTCCCCAATTTGACAATGTTTCGAGTTGTTATGTTATCAGAATATGTTTCTTCCCTACTTCAATATATGTAAAATAGAACATGTCATGCCAATTTGATGATAGAATCACAACCCAAAATATAAAAGAACGCTTAGAGATTGGTGAAAACTGTTCGAATGTGGCACGTCACAACACATTCCTATGAAATAAATGAATATGGTTCATTTTTTTTTTGCCACCTTGAACTCCCCCGTATTTCTCTTTGATATTATTTTATTCATACGTGCCCACGTGCATGTCTTTATTTTGTTACACATTACTATTTTTCTTCTTATTCTTGAAAGAGGGTAGTATTTTCTGCGCTCGCAAACACCCGAATCTTTTCTCTACCCATCCTCCCCCCCCCCCCTCCTCATGCTCACCTGGGGGCAGCAACGACTTAGCAGCGAGGATGAGCTTAAGAGGGTTCAGATGCACGTCTACACCAAACCAGCGGGGTTTTTAGGCCGGCTTATCGGCCGCGCCCTGCGCTTTCGTATTGAAGACTTTTCGTATATCGTCAATCGGAAAGACGGTGGTCTGGTTCGCGTCGAGGTCGGGGCGAACTCCATCGTACCGGAGTGTGAGGTCTACCAGGATGCCGTGCGATCGGAGCGGGTGAGCCTCACCTTCTCCGAGACGACCCGTCTGAGGCGGCGGATCAACACCAACGTCCTCAACGTCGCGCGCTACCCCGTGGCGGAGTTCGACGTCGAGAGCGACGAGCGGGATGCGGTGAAAGGCGTGCTCCACCTCCACGGCCAAAGCCACCCCATCATCTGCGTGAAGCAAGTCGTCGCGCACGATCTCCTCGTGCGCTGCCCGATCTCGATGAGTAAGTTCAACGTTCCGTCGTATGGTATTTGGTTGGGGCTTTTTAGTGTCGCCGATGAGGTAGATGTCGAGACGCGTATTTCTCTGAACGCCTTGAAGTTATAAACGTATCGTCGCAATGGGTATATACCACCTCTCCCACCAAAAAAAAAAAAGAAAAGAAAGAGCATAAAAAATCAAAAAAGCAAACCATAATAAAAAAAATCCAACGAACCAAGGCGTCTGAATGTGTAATGGTTCCCTCTCCTATTTCCTCTACCCCTCCCACTTCTTTGCTAATCCTTCCCTCTTGCCGCATCCGACCCAATGGTTTCGCCAGGTGCTTGTGTAGTTAACTAGTTTTCCGGCAGAAAAGGGGGTGTCGTCGTGGTACCGCACTATGGTGCGTTGTTCGATGAGGGGATTTTTCCACCCGTTTCGGTGGTGTTGCCCTTCCCCGTGTGGGTTTCGCGTTTTCCCCGCGGGCGTAAGGGGGAGGTGGTACGCGACCTCCCCCCCTTTCCCTCCCCTCCCCCCCTCCGCGTTGGTGGAAAACGAGGGCGCGGAGGCGGAGGCCGAGGCGATTTCGCCCTTTATGGCGGCCCTGTTAGACCCCCCGCGGACCGTCCCCCTCGTCGACGCCACCCGCACCTACGACCGGATGGACGTCGTCGAGCCCTGCGCGGTGTACGACCCCAACGAGCCGAATCTTTCCCCGGTCGAGGGGGAACCCCTCGGGGCGGGCGAGGCCGG